GTACTCTCTCACTGTGGAAAGCTCACGTCACGCGTATATGTTACAATCATCTACGATGCTCGTCCCGCCCTTCCCTTGGAAGTGGAGGATATCAATTTCATCATTCATAGTCTTCATCCAAATCGATATTGGTGATGCGCATACTGGACTTGCAATTTTTGGGAGTCGCGTCCCATTGCATAGCGCACTACGTGTGCAACGGCCGCAAACTCCCGGCCCTTTACCATCACGCAGAATCTCATAAGTATATAAAAATACCAAGCCTTTGTGCGTCACTCTGTTGAAAAACTTTGTATATCCCTGCTAGTCTCACTGCAAGAGACCTTGTGCGCATGTTCTGGTTTCTTATATATAAAGCTGAATGTTTTATTTCCGAACCGATTCGGACCAAACTTTGTGCGCATACACTTCGGGGCTGGGCTGGAAGCCAGGCGGAGCCGACTTCGCTAGCTGGTCATTTATAAGCATTCTTTATGGATTTCCATTTTAATTCAATATCTTCGACAGAGGAATTTTTGAGTTGTTGCCAATCAATTTTATCTACTTATCTTCACATACAAAATCACCTTCTAAAAAATTCTGTAAGATTGCACAACAAGCTTTGTTTTGTGAGCTACTGTCATGGTACTCGTCAGACGAAGTGTCCCAAAAACACCTCTTCTTTCCCACTTGAAGGGCTAAGGCAGCTGAAGTTATAACTTATGCTCACTAAAACTGTTGTTAATGAGAAAAAGTAGCCTAGCCTGCCATGTAGGGGGCGGAGCGCTTATTAGGTTAGTAGGCTAGTTTATCATGCAGTTTTTCTTTGGTTTCCTTAGCTTTAACAACTGCCCAACTTGAAGCAGCATTGGGCATCAGTGTAGTAGTAACTCACCAATCGGTGAGATATCGTCCGAAAAAATGAGACTGTGTTGGTGATCATTTTATTATTCAACAGCAATAAAAGCAGTAACACTAGTAACACGAATAGCACGAGTAACATCGATAACATGGGTAACACTAGTAACACGGGTAACGCTGGTGACATTGGTAAACTCTGAAGGATCCCAAGGGATCAAAAGATCTCCTAAAGATTCGAGGCATACATAAATACAAACATACATTGTTACATAAATAAATGTTGCATAAATACAAACAAACATACATAAATACAACATTGTTTCATTGTGACTTCGACTCAGTCCGAGATGGATGAGTGCTTTAAGATCCTCAATGAACAATCGCAGTACATTAGCTTGACTAGAGAGAGACCACACGATGACTGGTTACCCTACCTTAACACACAGGTGATGATGGCAAACAGCGCTGTACACATTAAATGGTATCGGAAAGAGAGCAGCAAGAACATCATCTTACATGCCACTTCCGCTCACCCAACTGCCGTAAAACGTGCGGTTATCCGTAACATGTTTAAGACAGCCAGCAGTGTGTGCAGCGGAGAAAGCGAGAAACTCGAGTCTCTAGAGATGGCACGCGTCATAGCTTCCAACAATGGATACTCGCTGCAATCCAAAGCCTCCAAACGAACACACATGAACACAAGCAACCAAAGTCGAACACGTGTTCCTTTATGCTTGCCGTTCATATCCGACAGAGTGACCAACGCAGTCAAACGATGTATAGCGCAAGCACAGTTGGATAATGATGTTGTTCTAGTAAATCTACCACAAGACAGCATCAAGAAACAACTGGTTCAAAATCGATTATACGATAGAGCTTGCACATCGCAAAACTGTGTTGTGTGCACAAACGGAAGGCCAGGAGATTGCTCAAAAAGTGGTGTAGTTTACCAGTGGGAATGTCGAACATGCCGGGCCATTTACATCGGCGAGACCGGTCGACCGCTTTTTGTACGGGTAAATGAACATCTGGCCAGCAAAAGAAGACAGAGCCTTGTGAGCCCATTAGGAAAACATAGAAAGGAAGATCATGGCGGCGAAGACTTTGAAATAAGTTGCAGCATATTAACAATCGAGGATAACATCTCTGCTCGAAAGGTGTTAGAAGCCGCGTTCATTCTTGCTCGTAACCCGAAAATGAATAGCAAGAATGAACAGTTGTCTGTGACAAATGATGTGAAGCCGTTCTTATCATTTTGTGATTTCGATAGCCTATAGCTATTTAAACATGTCCAAACCAGTTGGACTGTTTATTGCTACCGTACACTGTAGGCGACCTAAAGAGCCTCTATCGTGCTCTTCTCTGGGAGTCTTGGTGAGTTGATCGAGCTTGGACGCTGGACTGCGGTTGCGTTGGACGAGTCAAACGTACGAGTTGGTCGAAGCGTTTGATGGCATAATGCTTCAGATGAAGATGACTGACTCACTTTCAGGCCCCTGAGAACGGCGTATCCGCCGAAACGTTAGGCAGCACAATAAATCGTTGCTATAAAAACCTGTCGTGGCGAAGAAAAAAATTGGATAATACAAACATATTTGCAAGAAGTTGACTGTAGAGTTCAGCACACTGGCACACGAGCAAGCTGGAAGTTTCAGAAAGTGAAAACCAAGATGTTGTCGTATATTCTTATTCCTATTCATTCGTGTATATACGCGTTCCTTGACATGCTTGAAAGTTAAAGACAAGTTGAGACCAGGGTCAAGCTTGTGATGCGACTGTCGCAAAGGGGGGTCGTAAAGAGGGCACCAAGGTGGGCGGGGGTCGTAAGAGAAGGTAGTTAGGCTAAAATACCCTAAGCTCAAAAGGGAATCAAAAAGCAGATAATAGGTCATGTTCTTTACAATAAATCTATAAAAAAGTGGAAATCAGAATAAAATAGAAAATCTGTAGAAATTCTCAAGAAAAAACATTCACAAGAGCTCAAAACACTTTTAAAGGATGTATGATTTGATAAAAATGTTAAATGTACCGATTGCCTTAAAAATCTTGCTTCTGAAGCCCTCCCGAAGTCTCACACACTCGACAAAAGCGAATATCTTTACCAGCTGTGACCATCATAAATTTCTAAATCTCTTTGTAATGTTTCTTACGGGCCCATATGATTTATCTGTACTTTGGAGATGCTCCGCTACATCAGTGCAAAATTTGGTGTTATTTTGTCAACTGTGGATTTTCTTACAATTTTATGTATGGTAGCAAAAAATCACGAAATGCATCTAAATTTCTTCGGAGCTATTGAAGCTTGTTGGCTGTAATTCTGCTGTAATATGAGGCCATCCTCCTAATTTCCCTCATAAAAACTGCAGGCTGTTTTATAACTTCTCTGGTAAGTTACAAAATTTTAAGCTCAAAAATTCCAGTTTTTGCTTTTTAGGATCGCATCTAAATTTGCGAGAGCCGCATCTAAATTTTTTCGAGCTTACTGCTCCTCAAGAGCTGAAACTTTTTCTATGGATATTCTGGGCACTATACTACAGAACCTGTGCTTTGCAGCCTCTCGTTCTCTTCCGGGCCTTAGTTACGAATTTTCAAACTACCGTGCTCATGCACGTTTTTGACGTCGTTCTGGACGGCGCTCAAGCGGTTTTTTTCGCGGGAAAAACTGTGGATGAGGTAGGAAGTAAGCTTCTTAATCGAAAACATCTTTTGTCGTTCAAGAATGTCATTTTTTCTCCGTGCAAAAATTTGTGTCGTCTACGGGAATCGAATTTGCTGGTCCGAAGTATACCTGAAAATTCAAAAAAAAACTTGCAGGTTCTCAAACATTCTTGAAGGTGTGTATGTGTGCTACAATTGCTGGACGCACCCATTGGCTTAGAAATTCTGCTCCCGAAACCTCACTGAAGTTCTCACGCGGGTGTTTTTTGAGATTGACATTCGTTTATGCAAGTTACCGCGAGGAATGTGGGCAGGGGAGGTAAGGGGGATAAAGGGGGAGGGTGGGGGAGGGTGGAAGGGGACGGGGTCGTACGGATGGGTACCTTCACGGGGAAGGAGTAGTAAATGAGGGTCCCGGATCGCATCAACACGCTTGACCCTGGTTGAGACAGGTTCTTTAATTTACATGGTCTAACACGACTACCACTGGGAATCCAAACTCCCAGTATAGCAAGTTTCAACTCAGTTTAGGCGGAAATTGGACTGGCGGGAATCCGCTTCGCAGCGATTCGCGCTTCTTTGCAGTTTGCGTCTCTTCATTCCAATATATCTCACTGAGCCAGCGACGGTGCAGGCGCGCTGCTCCACTAGGAGTTTCGCCTACTCCGGGTTGAAAAAGACTGTAAAACAACTGGTTTGTTTATAGCGCCTTAGATTAGAGCACAACACGTGTGACACCCAATTTGGTGAAAATATGTTTAAAAAAGCCCCCAAATATTTGAGTTTGGTGGGTTTTTTTGAATGTAGTTGCCACCACTTCTGTCCCTTGGGTGACTTCGAGTGAACAAGTCGTACTTTTATTTTTTCTTCACACTCTTGCTTTTGCTTGACAATTACTACGACGCAACCTCTTTCAAGCGTAACCCCGCTTTGTTTCGACCTTGCAATTTATGAAGAACTGCTCTACTCTCGCCAGTTTTCTGAAACTTCATCATTTACTTTCACCTCTGACTGATGGTTGATGCAAAATGAACCAGAGGAGATGTCGTAATTGTTTGAACGATCACATAGGACCTACTTCGTGAAATCTTCAGGTGCGACCTCGTGTCAAGCCGTCACTGGGCTTTACAATTCTGCCCGCCAAATCAAGCGGAAAATCTGTTGAACTGTAGCTCACTATAAAGACGGATTTATTGACGCAGGTATCGATAGATGAACGAAAAAAATTGTAGAGAGACATCATCTTATGTTACAAGCACTTACGCATCTTCATAAAGAGATACGCTTAGCATCTGGTGAACGAGGAACATGCAAACATACAACAATGAGAAAAAAAGATATGTGCAAACATGGATCCGAGCGTAGCAAAAGCTGTACACAGCCAACAGTTATTACAAATCTATTTCAACAATAAGTACCTAACCTAAACTAGCGCATTTTATAGCATCTCTTGTCATCTGAAACTAGAAGGGCCCTAAACTTGCACAATGGAGATGAGCACTTTATGCTCTCGCTTCAGCTCGCTTCTTCTTTTTACTCATTGCTTTCCATTTCGGTGCTAGCTCATTTAGTATTTGAGATATATCTCTGGGATCAACTTTGCCCTTCAGTGTGACATTCAATGTGACATGAAAACCTGAAATAAGGCGAATTTACTTTGAATTATGTGAGTGTAGTTTCTATAATAATTATCCGAGACGAAGAGAACCAACCTTTTCTCGCAGAACTCGTTATTGACTGTATCTCGAAGTGCTTCTCTTGCAGTTTCTGCAGTACATCACGGTGTTCTTCTGTTTGGGCTCGTTTCACCAATTCGTCTAGTGACAATTCTTCAATTTCTAACCGGGGCACGGCAACTCGTCCACAACCAATTTCGTTAACCTAAACTTGTATCTAAGCAAGAGGGAGACCTTACAAGATGTGTCAATTTTTTTCAATTGTTCTCGCCAGTTTTAACTAATGGCAGCGAATATGGCAGCGGCTACACGGAAAGAAACATTCCAATATATTGCGTTTTTGTCAGCTATTTTTTCGAATAAAAATTCTGAAGTAGGAAATTGCTTCAAAAAAATCTAATTCCTAGTAGCGCATTCGATTTTCAAATTTGTGGAAAACAGATAAAATCATAAAACCGGCAGAATTTTTGTCGAAATGAAGATTTCAGCATACCGGCATACTACTGGGGGAGGGGGAGGGGGAGGGGAGGGCGGGACCAAGATCCTCAAAATGGGTCGCTCTATTTTGAAGTAATCCATATCATAAAAAATACTATGCTAATGATTTCAAATTTTTAGATATCAGGAAGAAACAAAAATCAAAAAAGACTGCAAAATTTTTTAAGCTTTCGAGATATTTTTAGCTTTCCAGTAAGTTTCTAATTTGCAAGAAAATTCTGCGACTTGGGAAAGTTGCCGGCCAGTTTTTAAAGTTACAATTTACCACTAACAAGGGATTTTTGTCCCCCCCCCCCCAACGTGTCCAAAAAAACATATTTTCTGCTGCACAAGCATAAATAATACTGATTTCGACTTACCGTTAGGATGAAATCGATATTACAATCAGGATCCACTTGCGGCCATAGCATTTCATCTACCCGAGTGATAGTTGGCACATGAACTTTTATAGGTGGCACAGATCGAAGAGCGGCCCATAATTCAGCAGCACAGTTGGGGGTGTAAACCTATAAAAAAATTCCATGTAAAAACAAAATAATTTTTAGTGGAAAAGGATTACCTGCATCATAATCATCAACGCATAAATACATCTCTCAGCTTCGGGACTGTTCCCAAGTACAAATGGGTCCATCTTCTGCATAAGCAACATTCAAAAAGAATAAGAAATGAGAAATAAATTACCCTGAGCGCATTAGTGAATCCTTGAAGACGAGCTAGACCAGTATTATGCAAATTCAACACTTCCAAGCACATCGATGCCTAAAAACCGCCTTTTATTAGTAGTCTTTTGCAGGGAGCAAATGATGGAAAATATTCTATAAAAAGAACTGACATTCCTAACAAAGAAGTTGTAACTTTCGCGCAAATTCTCTTCAATTTTCGGATCGGGCTCGGCACCAGCCGATGATTCCACAGCCTTCTTCCTTTGCTCCACATAAGCAGAAACAATCCATGCTACACGATCGAGCCATTTTTTCAAACCTTTGAGATCTGCAAGAACATCTACTGATTTGAGCAAAATTATTATCTGCCACTCTACCTGACTCTCCCCAATTTATAGGTTGTCGAGGTGCTGCGGAGTCCAGAAGTTGGAGACGAGTCATATCAATTCCATTTGTTTTTAGAACATCTAGTAAGTCGACACCTGGAGAAGTACTCTGTACTCCGTTAAAATTCCTCCAATTATATATATAAAAAGGAAAAATATCAGAGCCAGGACAACAAAAATTCATTTTGTTACAAATTATGTGCAGAAATATCCATGAATGCTGCTGAAAAGACAGACTTTTCTTCAGATACACATTCAAAAATGCTTACAACTAAAAAAAACTAACCGTTTCCCTTTGACTTGCTCATTTTCTCGTAAACCATAGTAAGCTCACTGCCATCTTTTGCGAAATATTTTTTGTCTGTAAAGATGGGCATGAAAAGCCTAGGAGATAGGCACAACCTCGAACTCTCTGACCAATCTTTTGTACCAAGTACAAAAACAGGCACCTTTCGAGATCACTTCCGTTTTTGGCACATATTTTCCCTCAGAATTTGTGAATGTTCGTCCTCGCACAATTCCTTGGGGTATGAGATTTCGAAACGGTTCAGCTTCCTAAATGAGCTAAACATCTCTACAAAACCAGTCATATATGTCGGTAGCGTTAGTGGAATTTCGCAAAATTCAAGTTTTGAACCATTTGTTTCATCCTGCTTTCTATGTAAATGTTCTTGGTTGTTTCAGATAGCAAGCATTTTTGGTATCACTTTTGCACAAAATTGAAGTTTCAGGTCAACGAGAAAGTTGATAATTTATTAACAAGTGAAAAAAGAATTTGTTTCATTTTTTATTCTCTATAACTTTCAAACTATTTATCCTCAAAGTTCCGGATAAGGGTTGATAGGCTCACCAATGTCAGTCCTATATCTGTCAGAAAATAGGAGATGAAACGAGCAAAGAACATATGCACAGCAGCTGGAAAAAAAGAAACGATTACTTGATTATAGATCCTTGGTAGAGTAAAACCTTACCGTGTTCTATTCCACCAACATAGATGTCTACAGGCATTCTGAAAGCAGCTTCTCGTGAGAGCGGAGCATTTTCGTTATGTGGGTCCAGGAAACGAAGGTAATACCTAAAACTGGGGTTTAGAAGAGAAACGCAATGAAAAGTGCACAAAATCCTGATAATAGATAGGAATTCGAGAAAGATAGGAACTCCATTAAACTTATCATAACACACCACAAACTTGATTTTACTAACAAAAAGAATTGCACAAATCAAACAGTTCCATCAGAGAAATAGTTCTTTTTCAACATATAACCTTGACAGAACAACCATAACTCTATATTTTACTTATGAAAAATTGCTGCATTGAAGCAAAATTATAAGATACGCAAATTCATGTCCAATTTTCTATTTTTATTTGAGATTAGCTTTCAATGAAACTTCTATAATACAAAATGCAAAGCAAATAATGCAAATTTTTGTGCTTTCATCTGAAAAATTTTTAAGAAAAGTGAAACTAACCACGCAGAATCAAAGAACGTGTCCAAAGTGTCGGTTTCGTAGAAGCCCTCACCTTCGGGTAATCTGCATCAATAATTTATAACAAATTTGCAAAAGCTTTTTCTGCATTCACCTGTCGCAAGCAACTTTTGTGCCGGGTGCCTGCCCTTGAAGCATACCTTCGATACATAGAGCCATGTACTCTGGCAACCTTCACTTTGAGCGTCATGATAGAACACAACCTTCACCAGGGGAGAAGTACAGAAGTCATCCGGGGCGAAGCCCCGGAAATTATGACATAACTAATGACATAATTGTATAGGGATGAATTTAAATGAGGCAAATATAGCAGTGACATTCAAAAGAAGCTAAAAAAACCGAAGGATTGCGTTTTTATGGCCTTTTTTGTTGAGAAGAAGGTTTTAATTTAAAAATTCTATCAAAAACTAGGGCAAAATTTCTCAATTAACCTTTCTCTGAACTGCGGTTGAATGTTGGAAGTTCATTAAAGCCGCTAGAGTTCAATAAAAACGAAAAACTGCGCTCAAATCTTGCGCAAAGGGTCGCCATATGAATGCTGGTCTATCTCGTTATGGAGTGATTTTCAAGACCCGCGACATTGTCAGTGCTCCTGGCCGTCTCATGAGGATCACAACGATATATAATTTTGCAGGGTTTCGTTGAGACCCTGCGAAGATCCACGACCAGAGCCAAATGCCCCGTCGGCTCTGGTCTGTCTCCGCTGCTCGTCTGCGTCTCCGCGCGCTGCGCGCTACCTCGCTACCTCAAATGCGGGGCGCGGGGCATTTGGCTCTGGTACCCTTTTCTTCGTTGTTCGGAGCCCAATTTCGATAATCTATATATCATATTAAAGCTCTTGATCTCTATTTTCACGCTGACAACGTCGCGGAACTTCTTTTTGGGATCTAAACGAGAAATCCTCGAAAAACGGTGTTTTCGAAAACCTCTTGTTTTTTCTTCAGTTTAACTTTTTTCTCTCGGTTTTTTTGTGCATTCGATAGGTCTTGTTTCTGTCTATGATGTAGACAACGTCGCCGAGCTTACTTCTTTGCTTATGCCGGTTTTTATGTGAACAATACAAAAAAGTGCGTTTTTCTTTACCTTGTTCTCTTTCTGTGCTTTTGCAGCGAATTTTTTTCAGCTTGGACGATACTTGCTCAGAATGATGAGCGGAGGAATCCAGACAACGTCGCAGCGTACGAAATGACTATGCGGGGGTGAAAATTTGAAGGACGCATCAAAAATCAGATTGGCGTCGATGTGCAACACAACTTTACAGACATGTTTAACATGTTCAATTCAGTTGTTGACAAGTTCTTCTTCTTTCGGTCTCCCAACTAACGCCACAGCTAAACAGCGCTTTTTTTGACTTTGACTGGAAAAGAACTTTGTTGTTGTTGTCACCCAATTTTAACGGCAATCCTGGAGACGAAACTCTGCGTAGGAAACCACCAAGTTAAGGTTTCAGATTTGGCGATGTGCTAACCTCTGCTTTATATGAATTTTCTAAGTTTTCTAATTTAATTTGTATCTCTAAATTTTCGTCTATTTTTCTGAAACAACCTTCACTTTTTATAGGGGGTAAGAACTCAAACAACTATCACTTTCAAGCCCTTGTCTCTTGACTATCGAAGGTATGCCTTGAAGCAATGGAAGCTGATCATCCGTCAATGGTACAGCCGTCTTCCCATCTGCGCTCAGAATCATTGGGATTGGGGTTCCCCAAGCTCTTTGTCTGGAACAAGGGAAATCAGTGGCTACATAGAAGAGTCAAACTTTAGATAATGTCACCTTACCTACTAACCACCCAATCTTGGAGAGTCCTAGAAGTCACATATCCGCCGTATCTTCCAAACTACAGCACGGTTTTCTTTGAAAACGATAAAACTCTCAAAAAAAACTAACAGCCGCAATTTCCTCAACATCTCGTGTACTCATCGGCATCATTCTTCGACTATCCAGCTTTATATTGAACTGTTCCATTAGAGCACGGTCAGCTACCTCATCTCCATATCTGCACAAATCATTTTGATCCAAAAAAACTGAACATACGAAGTCCCTGACCTAGCATTTAAGTGCATTTCAGGACCGTCATAATTCTCCGGAACAACAATGACTGGCATCCAAACTCCAGTGATGCCATTCAAAACACTCACGCCAAGCCGATCTGAGATTTTCATAGCTAGGAGCAGAGAAGAAAGGGCTTTTGACTAACATGGTGAATCCACATCAACTCTGTTATGATCAGATAATGGATGTCCTTGACGCAAAATAATGAAAGACGTTCTTGGCACAGAAAGTGGATCGGCAACTCGCAAATCCAAAAGCTCTTCCAGGGGTTGGTGGTGGTCATCCTGAAAGTACCACTGGAATCCAAGAAATAGATGGTCTCTAAAAATTCCTGATCCTCTATTCACTAATTGAACGAGGTGAGAGGGGGAGTGGAGCATGGATGATAGCTTGCCAGATTTTGGAAGTGGTCTGAGCGATTTGTAGAGTAAAAGGGAATTGCTCTTAAATGTGATCGACGGAATAAATCCGTATAAAAACAAAAAACATTAAAAAAAACATAAACAAAAAACACTTGTAAAAACATCGTATAAAAACATGAATATTAGCATTTTTCAGAATTTTGAGTTGTTATAAACTCGCTAAAGATGACTGGAAAACAAAATAAATGTTGGCTCTGCCCTACGACATACTAAATACTTCTTCAGATACTCACTCCTCTTGATAAAGAATAAAAAATCCTGCAAAATTGCTAATTTTTGATTTTCATTTTTCTGAGTAGGAACGATGGTCTCACTTGTACAGACACAACCACTTATGCAGTTTCTTAAAATCTGGCGCTTCCAGGTTTGTTACTTTTTTCCTTCCCAATGCACATCACAATCGAGGTGGAACGAAAGCTACAGCAGTCTATCAGAAATAAAATTTCGCTCGATATGTGGGGAATAACCATAAGTGACGATAGTAATGGTTCCGCAAAAAGATCAACCAGTATTTTTTGCAGTATGAATTTGAGTAAAAAAGCAGATTTTATAAACCATTTTGTTACTAGAACTTGTTGAGTGAGTTTGAAAAAAATATTCAGAAGAGATTCCAAACCCTCACATAACAGCTTATGTACGACTCAGGCATTATTGACAGATTTGATTATAATCCTTTCGACCATATTTTAGACCAAAATTTCCAGTTCGGTCTAATTATCAAAAAAGATGAGTAAAAGCACAAAGTTTTCGTTACGTCACCGAACAAAATAAATGGTATTTGTACAGCCGTTTAGCTGAGTAAAAAGATAATTGTATAGATAGACTTAAGCTAAAGAAGATATTTCCTTAGATTGCTTTCGATGATGATTGTTGCATATCTGATTTTATACAAATAGAAACTATTCTCAAATAGCTGTTAGCACTCATATCATCAGTTACCTAGTCCCTTTTCAAGTAAAACTGTGCCCTGAACCCGTGAGCTCTTGAAAAAAGTACAGTTCACCCAAACAAGTACAGTTCACCCAAACAAAGTGTAGGTCGCTTTTTGAACTCTCAGGTCTTGTTCACCCCCGTGGGGGTGTGGGCCGATCCCTGCAGCAGTGCAACGCTGGGCCGACCCGTGATGAGGTGCGAGCAAGCCCGCAACCTCATCCGGTTCCAAAAATCAAATAACCTTAACGAGACTCATTCGAGACTCTATCGAAGGTTAATCCGATAAGAACAGAAACTAAACTTTGATCTTAGCCAAAAGGCCGAGAAGCGATGAGGCAACTAAACATCTCGGCATCACCCTCTCCGCTGCGTCCTATCCTCCGCGGGTTGCATGAGGGCGCACTACGGAATAATCTCTTTCATGCGAGACAGAGGGAAATGGTCGATACACCGCTGCTTGGTTTTCGAAAAGGTGACACGTTCTCTGACTTGTTTACTTGTCATCACTCCCTCTTCTCTTATTGTGCGAGAAATGATGGTAGAGTTTTGAAAGCTTGCCATTTTCCAGACAGTACACCCCCGAATTATACCAAAGCTATGAATTACGAAGACATAGGTTATTACAAAGGTAATTTGGAGGCTTGAGTCCTTCAATCTTCACGCTAGATCAGAAATATTTCTTTAGAAAGCAGAAATTGGGAACTAATGTATAACACATGTATAAGTCGGAAAAGACCCTCACATAATTTGTAAATATGAAAATTCTTTTACATACGAAAATTTTCTTGAAGTGTGACGTTACTCGGCTCACTACTTTTTGTTACTCTTTAGCATTCTTCGCTCAATGTGAATGATTTCTATATATTTAAAATTGTGTATATTGATTATATTATACAGTGTCCCAAAAAGATGTGCACACTGTTTGATCGTTAATAACTCTCTTGCTTTCATGTCTTTTGCCGAGCTTGAAGTATCATTTTGTAGAGCTAGGATAAACTTAGATTTACAGTATTAAGCGAAACTCCAATCTCTTTTTGCTACTGTAGGATTACGGTATGAACTTTCAGCATACAGCATCACTGTGGGATAAGCCTTTTGATGAAATAATTTAAAAAAAATCTAAAAAATTGTGTAGCAAGGTTCTCAGGCGTGCTGATTTCACTACATAACTTTCCATCAGTTTTTCGAGCTTGATGGCGTATTCACATTTCTGCTGAACACTGGAAAATCAGTTGTTACCCTAAATCTGAATTAACTCATGAAAAAAACATTGTACTGATGTGCTGTTTTCATATTTAGAATCAGCGACTATGATTAACCCAGTTCAAGAGTTTCTGGCTACTTGGCTTTTTTCTGAGGCAAAATACAGCTTTCCATTGCTGAAAATCCTCCTCGAAATTTCTACCGTAATTCTACAGTAATAAAAAGTGGCTGGTAAGTCCCTCCATACTGTAAATCTAAGTTTACCCTCGCTCTACAGAATGGTACCTCAAGCTCGGCAAAAGACATGAAAGCAAGAAAGTTATCAACAATCAAACAGTGTGCACATCTTTTTGGGACACCCTGTATATATGATATATATATATACTGTATATATTGATTTGTATATATTTAAAATTTATTTACTCATTTATTATAAAATTCTAAGTGAAGAAATGGTTTCAGAAAGCTAGATTAGAAAATGGACTGAAGAACAAGAGCCTTTCGATGTCTCTTCAAAATAAAGTAACTGAATAATCATATAGTTCACTATAATGACAGTTTTATTTCTTCACATTCAAAATAAGAATTATTTTGTTCGATTCGGTCCTTCGATAATCACCAGTCAAAAATAAGCTTCATGACCAATGTGTAATCCCGAATCGTATTCCCAGTTTCAACTCTTCGTCTAGGTCATCCTCGTGGATCCAAAGTACAAGTCCCCTATGACCCATTTTCTCGGTCTTGTCCACCCCCTTGGGGGTGTGGGCCGATCCCTGCAGCAGTGCAACGCTGGGCCGACCCGTGATGAGGTGCGAGCAAGCCCGCAACCTCATCCGGTTCCAAAAATCAAATAACCTTAACGAGACTCATTCGAGACTCTATCGAAGGTTAATTCGATAAGAACAGAAACTAAACTTTGATCTTAGCCAAAAGGCCGAGAAGCGATGCAGGAACTAAACACTGCTGCAGCACCCTCTCCGCTGCGTCGTATTCGCCGCTGGTGGCATAAGGGCGCACTACGGCATTTTCTCTCTCGAGCGAGAGCGAAGAGAGATAGTCGATATGCGGCTGCTTGGTTTTCGAAAACGTGGCGCGTCAGACTTGTTTATCACTGGTAAAGAGTATTGCCACTTTTTCTATAGCAGTTACAACAGACCCTTTCACTAAAAAATTAGATTGTAGAAATCCAAAACTTCTTAGGTAGTAAAAGTTGCAGTAGTAAAAACTATCGTATAGGTTACGACAGTAAATATCACTGTGTAGGGGAAATGCGCTCACACAATTTCTGAGAAAAAATCATATCGCAAGATACTGGAAACGCTCCTTAAAATTACGCTCAATAAAGTGTCTCAGTTATTGAGTTCGCTCCAACACTTTTTCCAAAGTAGAAGTTTATCGCTAGCATCGCAGTGAGGTCTTAATCGATCAATTAGCACTTTGAGGTGTCACTTCGGCGCTGAGTGACTGAGCAGTTTGTGGGATATTACGAATCAGTCTACGAAGAACAAGAATAGTTTCTTACCTTCTGTAACCTTATGATGATCAACCTTTAATTGTTCAAAAGGTTCGGTAAAGGCGCGAACTGGAATTGATTTTCGTTAAAAAAATATCAAGAACGGGATTGCATCTACATACCCATACAATGGCCTTTCGTTTCGGACATGACGACAGAATGGTAAGGTGAAGGGTTGCAGAATGCTTTCCCAAAACCAAGCGAAATCTTTCTGGATAATTCTTACGTTATTTATTTAGTCTTTTTTGTCGATCATATCTAGTTGAATTGGCGTTTTAGTTGTGTTGCAATCACGACTGGACCACGAACTTGCACAATCTCGTGACATGCAAGGCCATCTAGCTTGGTACTGTCTTTCTTCATGTTGCACACGGAGCATAATTGTCTGGTTGGGTCACTCAATCAAGAAAGCCGGCAGAAAGGACGCACGATTTGTTGATCAGGAAGATTGTAAAGGGCTACACCATGCACTGACCAAGCCACGGCAATGGGGACGGCTCATTATTATTCTCGATATAAGCAAAGAAACACCCCTTCACCCAAGGAAGGGTTAAGGCGACCCTATCTATTGAACCAGGCAGAACAACTCTGTGAGGAAGTGTGCAGTATGTCGAGCTTTCTCATTTATGGGGCTGGTATGCGGTGCGCCGCGTGTACACCCCAGAGGGGTCGTAGGCGCGTGTATCGGTTACTACAATCGGGTCAACGAAATACACGGATTTGTGAGGAACATCATGTTACACCGCGGCCAATAAATTCACGATTGGATACGGCAGAGTGGGGTGATCTCACCTTGAGAACCCATATGAAGACCTAATCTTGTCGAGATTTGAGCATTCTGAAGCAGTAGCAGAAGTGCTGCCAAGATAGGTCCAAAACCCAGAAAATTATATACCCTAATTTCACGCGTACAAGGCGCGGGGGATTTTTTTCTAAAATCCGCCAGTCCAAACACGCCACAAAACTTCGCGACCAAAGGATCCTATACCGGGCTCCGTATTGCCTGAGAGCTGAACGGTTTAAGGTTCGCTTTCCGAAACACATTGAACCGGTTGAGCGGCTTGTTTGAAAAATCGAAAAAGGTGCGCCTTGTACGCGCGAAATTAGGGTAAGTCTACAAAGTGGGAAGACCAGGAACTGCTGGTAATATGACTGGCTACCCCGCCAAGGCTGAGACGCAGAGTCGCTGCGGGACCCTACCGTTTTGATATGGCGGCATGCGTACTCTGCCGCACAGCAGGAATTCAAGCAGGTCGAAGGACCCCGCCCCAAGGCGTAAGTTTACCCACCTTCGATCGGTTCTCTTGCTTTAGGTCGAATGTTGTAACCTCTTACTTGCTCGATGCTGCGCCTAGGGGGGGGGACCATTTTCGCATGGCAATACCAGAAACCTCACCTTGTCCGGACACTGCCTTCAAGTGGAACTCGAGAACACTGTAAGACCCACACTTGAATTATAAAAGCTACCCTATCTTAATTTTTTTGTGAAATCGACATAGGATCGACTTCTTGTTACGATATTTCGCAATCGTTATGTCTTGACATATCGATATTCTACTGCACTTTGCATCTCGCGCTACACGGGCAGCCACCTCGGCCTATTGTTTTTGGTTCGTCTTTCTAACAAACTATTGTTCGTCTTCGTCCCCTTTCCCTAAATCCAGTCCGTAAGCCGTTACTCCGTACAACTTACACTACATATATGCAAAGCGTTCCCGAGATTTTCAAAATGAATGATACACAGCTTGTGGTAATGAGCTACATACAGGGACTAAGGCACTTTTCCCTGCTTCTCCAAGGTGAGGTGGTTATTGAGAAGGATTTGAAACAACAGAAGTTAGTTATGTAAACCTCCTGAAGACGAAGAATGCTTCCGAAGAACAGAGATTATTTACAAGGGAATACCAAGCGCCGTCAAAATGGCCTAGAGGTGCTTATAACCGGAAAGTTTCAAGGGGCTTCACGTCACAAAACTGTCACAGAGAACGCACGGGAAGACCGAGTATTTGCAATGATAAGGAAAGAGTGGATGAAACCTCCAAACTATTCCTTCGCTCTCCTAAAAGACGACGAATTGCACCTGGAAGTAGATGAACAAAGTCGTCTCACGCGATAATGGGAGAATCCGAATGGAAGTTACATCATAAGATTAGTTCAAGCACTGACCAATTGATAATCCATACGATACGATGTGCGAGTGATTCCCAAGAAAGAGACAGCTAATTGTCATTACTTGATTATTGAGAGCGATAAGATTTTAGCAAAGTAGTGTATTTGGTCCACAAATCCATAATTCACTCAGTTCAAACTTTGTACATTTGCTTGTTGCACACTTTCATCATAGCGTGGGACTTTTTGTAAAGCCACGGTTACGAGAGCTACTTTCTTAGCCTCCTTCGGAAGCATGTTGTCCCACGCATGCAGAAAATGTCTTCAGATAATACATGTTAACTTTGAGCAGGAAGTTGTCCCTCCTCACTTCCACCACACTTCACACAACATTTCGATGCAGTTTCTTCACGACGATGGTCAGAGGGATAACATGATCCTCCACTTCTCCAGATCCTACTACCCTGCTTCTGGGATAAAGCTACGCCAAGATTCAACGGATATGCGTAAGCGAGATGCTATCGAGAAAAGCGAGAATTGGCTCAACTTACGCGAAGTTTATGTTACGATAAGAGAATGATCAACAATACTCAGCAAATAACGGCCAACATTTCAAGGACATGTTTTAGATCAGAAGGCGGCTTCAATTGTGTTATAGATCTGTGCATGCAGTAATGAATTAGGCAGTCATTTTGCGCATATAGCAAGGGATTTGTCATAATTTAGAATCCTAATTTTATAAATTATGTAGGTACGGCAGGTAAATTACTTGTTGTTTTTCATTAACGAATTTGCGTTTAATTTAAAAAGGTTTTTCGAGTTTGAGGGTGTCTCTATGACAAACAACCGTGATCGGCGTTAGCCATGCACTCCGAAAAAATTTTAGGGGTGCTTCTCAAAATTGTTGTGGGTCCCCAACCCGGAAAAAAATTTTTACAAGGCTAATTTGAATTTTTAAAAATTTTTAAAAAATATTTTAATTATATACAAGTATAAACAAGTTATTTGCACATTTTTATAACCCTTATAAGTAACTTTCAAAAATTTCGCGACCCATTCTCGGAGGGGGGGGGGCGCCCCCCCCCTCGGTACGCCACTGCAATGCACATATTGTAAAATTATCCAGCAAATGATATTGTAGTAAGATTTAGCATCTTCTCTGAAACACTAACATGGTCTCAGCTTTTTGAAAGTTATTCAAGTGATTCTCTGAGTCAAACCCTCCTAACGTTCTTTTACGCTTACGAAAGGGAGATGGTGATTGGCGCCCTACTATGAATCCAAGTCGATTTCGGTCCTACGTGAAGTACCGTATTGTCATACAGTGCAGGCGCCGATTAAAAACGAAAAACATGTCCTTACTCGGATTGGAAAGAGAAATCTGTACACGTCGCATTCTCCTATCCAATTTGATTGAATATCCGCGACTTCGTGCCATTCCGGTAGAAGACGCAAACCGTCACTAAGTCTCTGAAAAAAATCAGACTTTCGTTGCCTCCTGCCTTTGTGGAGTGGGTATTGTACCTTCGCATACCGTGTCGTCTCCACCATCCACTGACGCAATTTTCGTTTTTCAGCTACAGCTCCACTTCGCCAACTTCGACCTTCCGAGTCGATTTGCTCGGCAGCCAAGACAGTATTGTCTACTGGATCCCAGTTGACCTGCGAAAAGGTGGATAAAATAAGTGATTGCAAATATGAAGCACACTTTGCCTCCGTGTTACAGAAGTTTGTGGGTCTAGAAAGTCTCCGTGATGAAATTTTTACATATGTTTCCCTGACCCTCAATACCCCCGCAATTACCGTCCTACGGTGCTCGACTTGCAGTTATAAAGCTGCGTAGTTTGAAGTATAGACGTGTTGTTAGCGACTTAGTGTTCTGTTTTCGTATCCTAAAATTAGAAACGAAATTACGAGCCAGTAAATATTGGATCTTTAGGCCTAGTGGAGAGCGTACAGGTGGGTTTAATTTGCAATACAGGAAGCTAGGTAAAAAATGCTTTTTGCAAACCTTCAATTCATATTTCTGCTGAACCACAAGACGGTTAAGCCTTTTACCTAAGGAAATTATTTCTAGTAAAAACGCATCCTCTTTTCGTAAGAAATTAGGCTCTATTAATGTACTGGAACATTATAGGTGATGTTTAGGTTGAGTCTTCCGATCGTTCCCTTCTACCGTTGATTCTTGCCAGCTCTGTTGTTAATTTGGCGACAATGATTCATCGAGTCTTGTTCTTCGACCTGCGCTGATCGAAATCCTATCGCCGCATTTTTTTTCCATTCCGAGATTATCAAACGTCTTTTCATGTTTTTTTTCTGTTTTTTTTTAATCTTCTTGATGTCATACTAACTTTATTGACATTGTATGTTGCTGTTCACTAACAAATGGCGCGCCTATGAGCGTATCAAATAAATAAATAAATAAATACATTTCTGCCTAAATTACAGAAGACGTCATTTGAAGAGGGTTTCATTTTGATAAAGAAACTGTGGTCAGGTTGAGTCTTTTTTAATTAGTTCAAACATAGTTCAGGTATAGGATTTATCAGGGTGATCCAAAAGTAATGCGGCACCTAGAGAATAAATGCAGTTTTCTCAGGTAGAAAAGCTAGTTGGAAGTCCAAGTTTAGGCAGATGTTAGTACATAACAAAACCTTCTGATCGAGGTCTATAGTTGGGCATTGTCACATGGCGTTATTTTTATAAGCGCTCAAAATGAAAGCTCATCACTTCAAGCAATTTTGAACTTTGAAGATCAGCGCCGCAATAGAACAAGTGAGCCTACCAAAGATATATGCGCAGCAATGGGTGAGGAGACTGTAACCAAATCCACAATAGCTCGGTGGTCCCAAGGCTTTTGAATAGAAGATATAGCATTTGGTATCAAAAGACATAGTACTTATTCTTTCATCAAGGTAATCAAACAAACACAACTTTAACAGTTGCCTTCTGATAGTGCTTTTCACGCTCTATCTACACATATGCAAATTACTTCGACTTTTCTCGATTTCAAAAAATTGTGGGCCAAAACATGAATTTTAATCTAAAAATCTGCGCTAAACACCGCACTTTTTCGAATAAAGCGCCTTTTTTGTATGAAATAGTGGGCATTTTTGATTATTCAAGTGACCATTAGAAAGAACTTGGAAAGCTCTTTCGAATGGTATGCCATATGTCGAGGGTCCTCAGGTGCAGCAACACAAATTCGGATAGCGTTCAAAAAAAGTCTGTCTGACTTTTTTGAAGCGCCGCGTGAAGGAATGTCGGTGAGGTGCTGCAAGGTGCTGTCAGGATAACTTGCGAAGATCACTTTATACAAAAGCGTTCAAATTGCTGGTTGTTCATAGCTAATCAGAAAGAGATCTCGAAGAATTTTCAAAAAAAAGCAAGTGCCCCATTACTTTTGGATCACCCTAATAGTATCATAAGGTTGGTAAATAATGGCCGATTTTCCAAACCTCTCTTCAGGGCAACTTTTTTCCCTCAGAATATCTTCATTGAAATACGTATGGCATACCACTGAGAAGCTGTTCTCATGCCATCTAACGGTTGTCAAAGCGGGCTTCTATTTAACTGTTAAAAAGTTTCTCGGCTTCAATTAACTGCATCCAAATTCAGAATTTCATTGGCTTCACTTTTTCCCCAGAATTCAAGCGCATATCAATGGCATTTCTTCGAAAATTTAGCTATTGCATTTAATAGAAATTGTCTACATTATGCATACTTAACTGTATTATTTGAAGCTATTCAGACTGAGATATCGGCGCTTAAAAATGGGTAGCTGTTGCAGTCATCTTATAATGCATGATTTTCTTCCGAAGACGTCAATCGCCGAAGTTTTGCCCAATTCTGTAAGCGTAAGGCTAGGACATCCTATTAGTAGTTTTTGCAAAAAAATCCAGCTGTTCAGTAAAAAATAGAAAATTAGAAAATTCTATATTTGGGACTTTGAGACACACTTAAAAAATGTTTGAAAAACAAAGAAATTTTGAATTTTAATTTTTTTCTTTCTCGCAAACTTTTTTGTCCGAATCCTTTTTATTGTATTTTGTACTACTGGCTTGCGAATACAAGACAGGCCACTTATCATTCGTACTAACAAACTCTGAAGGAAGATATGAATTGTCAAAAACAAGGTTCTAGCAGAAGAACCTATTATGTCTTTTAGTCCGCATTTCTCTTTATGTGAGTATAAATGAGTATGCGCTGTATTGCGAAAGGTTTGCTGCTTCTGATGGTTTTTACCGCATTCAGAAATGTGGATGTCTTAGAAAGTCATAGCACGTCAAGGTGAGAATTCACAAATCGACCATTATTTTTGCACAAATTTCCTTTGCTTTCACTAAGTTAAAAATATAGACAAGTTTTTGCCATAAATCACTGATTTTCCTGAGATGATTCACAACTGAACTCATAAACTTGATGGCAAATTGACTGTTGCTAGGAGATGTCAGGTTGTCCCATGACTACATACGTACGAAAATCTGCTTACCTCTACTTCATTTATTTGGGCTTGAGCGACTGTTAGATATGATGCAAGCTCTACAAGACACCTTCAAGAAATCGCAAAAAGTTTGATCTTAAAGTTCGAAGCTGAAGTCCAAATAATTTTCAGATGTCCGACAAATCATTCTTAGCTCAGAAACATCTTACGGACTTCTATGCTCGGGCGTATACTCTCTAAATCAGACATATATGTTTACATTTGCTGAATTCTCCATGGCTAAAAACCCAAAAAATTAGTCAGAACCAAGAAAAGCCTGTCGTTTTTTTTCTAGTCATTTGCTAAATCTGATATTTCTCTAAAGAAAAACTTGTAGAAGGCTGAAAATCTACAGTAGTACTTGCGAAAATTCTTCACTCTATAGATCTGCCTATGTAGGAACACCCAACACTTAGGTTTCACGAAAACGTGAAAATTTTCAATCTTCTGATTTCTAACAATGCAAAAACATAGCAGTTGTACATATGAGTACATATGAGTGTCTGATACGGGTACTGAGCTTGAGCAGGGTCCGTAGAACTTTCCGGATGAGGATCTGATTTTTTTCAAATTTTAGGGCACCGGAATCTTTTTAGATTTGGATCCAGACTTTGTTTGGATCACACTTGATTTGGATGTTTGAAAGATGTAGAGATTTGTTTTTGAATTGTTTAAGCTGTAGAGATTGCTTTGCTCTATCGGAAGTTACCCCGCTCCTTAGAGAAATTCACGAAGAAATGGCTTATTGTGGTAAAGTGGACTAGTGGGACAACCTGGCACTAGTTTTTCATGAGGTTTGTGTTAACAAAATGGGTGAATATAATACCATCGGTTCGACGCAAAATATGACTCTCCAAATCACCATAACTTGCAGAAGCATCTGTACTTTTCTGTTTGTATTTTTCAATCCACATTACCCTACCCCAACGCTACAACACAGAGGTTTCGAAAACACATACATATTTTTATTTTTCCTATGGTTTTTTCTCTACCCCTCTCCTCTGCCTTTTCTCTTCCATGATTTTGCATCTCAGCACTTCCCCCCTTACCGGCAAACTGATGTCTATCTCTAACGCTTTAAAGAGAGGGAGGAAGTGAAAAAATGTAAATTTCGGAAAATCCCTCTTTCAATGTGCGTCGTGTGGAGATGGCTACGGCAAGCTTTGAAAATGTTCAAATTTTTCAAGAATGTTCTCCTTGTTGAAATCCAAACAGCGCCAAAATCTTACTTCAGCAAGATTCCGTCTCAGCAAGCCCCTCTCATGAAGGCGTAAAAATATCCATTGCGTCCAACGATAATACGATGGATCACACGTTGATAATTCCTGCAATAGCGGTTAATGGCTTTCTTGAAGATAACAATTAAAGCATCAAACTATTTGAAGGCAGCGTCCCGGCAGAGTTTTGCTTTCCAGTTTTCACCTATTCGGAGCCTTCTCGCCATGAGAAATCCATATCTGGGTTTTTCAGCGCATGAAAATGGCGACAATGGGCCTTTTTCAAAGTTTTCTAGGTCCGCTTTAGTGAAAATACGTGTAAGTGGGCGGGGCCTGAATCGAGGGAGGCGGGGCGCAAAAGAATTCGGCGTATCTTCACTGAGGACCCCAAAGGCTCCGGAAAGGCTCATTTTTGCCATATTCATGCGCTGAAAAGCCCAGATATGGACTTCTCATGGCAAGAAGGCTCCGAAATGGTGAAAAACGGGAAATGAAATTTTGCGGGACACTGCCTTTTACGCTAGGTACAACTACAAACCCTATCCCAGTCGAAAATTATGCCAGTTTCCAGTAGTTGTTTCTTCATCGTTTCGATATTGCTGTAAGAACGTTTTTAAAAAGAATTTTCTGAGGAAGGCGCAAGCAAAGATCCAAAGCTTACGAGATGGTCCACTCCCGGGGATCAACTCCTTTTTCTCGAGCTGCATTTTCGGCTGGCAACCCGAAAGCATCCCATCCAATGGGATGAACAACCTATGTGTGAATTTTTCGCAACACGAGAAGTTCAAGAAGGAAAAAAACTTACATTGTACCCGTTTAAACGGTAATATCTAGCAGTAACATCAGAAATTGTATAAACTCGCATATGACCCATATGTAATGAACCCGACGGATATGGAAACATAGACAGAATGTACTTTGAAGAAGTTGGCTGTAAATATTGTCCTCAATAAGGAAAATGTCATGGAATCCTTGTGGTACGTACACTTGAACCATCTTTGCTACTCTTAGTCTCATATATTGGCTTCCAATGCGTTTGTAAATCTAGTAATTGGTCACTGAACCGTGACAGCTGAAACAAACAATACATGATCAGCTTATTCAACTTAAGCATTTTTTACCTCGCGACCTTCAACACGCTGGTGCTCTGCAAGTGGCCATTTCAGCATTGGCTTGGTGTGTTTGGCTCTCCAAAAAGTTTTTGTGCTGATTCTTAGTTTCAGCCTCGTCAGCATCTAAAGATATGCAAATGTTAATGCATAAAACGTTTTTATAGGATGTTCTTCACTTGGAAGAAGATTTCAAGCAATTTCACATAGCCTGAAGCTGGTCAGCTGAGACCAATGCCTCTTTTCCCTTCTGAAGCGACTTTCTGGTTCCGTAATTCCCCTTACACAGCAGCACATTTGAACAACTCACGGGAACTTCCGCAAGACAAGAAAGATTCGCAGCAGTTCCAGAGCGTTTCGTTTAATATCACAAAAATTTAGGCGTCAAAAATGGGAACTTCTACAGGAGAACATCTCGCCCGAGCGGGAATTTTCGCAGCACTTTCCAGAAGTGCTGCGGGAGGTTAGTTCCTTGAATTTCCAACGGGACTTCCTGTGATTGTCTGCGATAAATTCGCTAGGGGCTTCTTTGAAACGCAAAATTTCTTCAACTTCAATTTTGCGCAAGATGCCCTGAAAGACTATATCCCCTCCTCCAACACTTCTCACTTCTTTTGATTCTGGAAGTCCAGGACGCTAATTAAAAATTTGCCTTCCTATCAGCAGCGCATTTCTGTGGAAATAACAAGCGTTTTCGAGAATTCATACGGTGTATTCTTCTTTTTCAGACAGTTCTTTTTTTAAAATAGGAAAAAATGATACAAAATTCTTATCCAAAATTTCCACTACTTGGAAGTATGTCTTTGTAGCCCGTTCCACCGTCATCTGTTTTCAGAGTAAGCACCAAATGGATAAATTGAATATCTGACAAATGATTAACTTTTTTGTGGGAACCACCTTATCCGGCGACGTAATATCCCTTCCTTTCGGGAAGATTCACAATCGCAAAGTATACTATCGCAAAGTATCTTCCTTTCGGGAAGATTCACAATCGCAAAGTATACTGAGAGGCTCCCAATGTTCATTCATTACATCAGTGCAAATGCACTTTACAACCAAAATTATTCACGGAACAATTGATTTCATTTTACACCAACACCACTATTGCAATTTAACGAGTCTCTCTGATTAATGAAGAGTCAGCCGCAGTTCCGGTTAGATGAACCGGAAGTACCTACGACAGTCGTATTCTTGTTACGAGTATGCGTGGTAGCTAAAAACATGCTCTCGGCAATTTCATACATGCTGTGGAAGCGTGATTTATTTCAGCTATAGGTCGATTATAAAATCGTGACGATGGATTTGAGTGCGGTCTTTGCGCGCACAGGAGCATGAAACACTCACAAAAAATGCATCACCTCGATTCCCAGCTCAGTCACTTCCAGTGTCTAGATACTATCATACCTAAGCAGAAAAACCATTGAAGTACAGATAGAAACCAAGAAACTGCGGTTTTGGAAAGCGCGTGCGTGTCGCGCGCGGTCACACCACCGTCACGATTTCTCGAATGTCATGTACAGTCTATGGCACGCGCAATACTTTATCCGCTTAATCCACTTGATTTGCTTGATCCGCTTCGTCATTGGTCGATTCAGTGAAGTGACCAGTAGCGAAGCGGTTGTTCACTTGATCCGCTTCATCCACTTAATCCACTTCGCTATTGTTCAGTTCGCTGGATTGACCAATGACGAAGCGGATCAAGCGGAGCAAATATGGCGCGTGCCTATGGCGCATTCCATTTCTCATCGCAAATTTGGCTCCCGCGCAGCAAGCGCTTGCGGCGCGTTCGCAGGTGTGCAGCTACAGTCTTTTCAACCCGGAAGGCGAACATTCCAAGTGGAGCAGCGCGTCCGCACCGCCATTCCTCAGCAAGATAGGTTGGAATGAGGAGACGCAGACTGCAAAACGGCTCGAATTGTTGCGAAAAGGACTCCCGCCAGTCCATTTCCCGCCTAAACCGAGTTGGACTTACTATACCATTCTTATACTTTCTGTCGATAATTCCATTTGAAATCAGGGACCTCATCTTTGATAAATGAACTGGTTTCGCTAGTTCTTTCTCGATATTACGTCGAAATTTCTTGCGTGCCCCTAGTAAGATCACATTACTTCCCATCCTTGAACCCGAGCTCATAACCGCTTCATGACAGATGTTTGAGCTAACCTTCCTAGCCAATGAGACGAAGTTTTTTGAAATTTCGCGATTTTGAGACTGATGCCAGAAAATTGCTGAAGGCGGCCAGCCAGCCCCAAAAAACCGCAGAGTTTTTCACTTAGTAGTAGTTTATGACAATCTTGTCGCCTCTTACAATTAGAGCGCCAGGCATACATCACGAGATTTGATCGCCTCATCCGACAAGACAACTGTTCATTGCATGCTGATCGTCTTGCATTTTGGTTGTGTTCGTTTTTTGATGACGACTATTGCGCTAACTACCACAGCCAGAATGTGAGATGATCAACATCAACAATGGATTCGTAACAATTGTCTTGTTGTGAGAATTGCGCGGCGATGAACTCGCGTGATGTATACCAGGCCCTTATAGGGAACACAGAACTAGGTTCACATCCAAGTGTTAGAACAATGTGAACACACATTATGCTATCGGTACATCAAATTATAACCGATATAACTGCTGAGGTAACCTCCAAATTGAACACGAACATTAAAGTTTGACAGCTTTTATTATGAGTTTCTTACATACAAAGCGACTGTGGGAACGTCATTCTCCGGTTCTTAGAAATCTGCAACAAAAACAAGCTCACCATGGAAACGACAATGTGAGACACAAAAGACCGCTAAGGACAGCCTAACTTCTTACGTTACTAGAGATTCACTGGAAGCATTCCAGTGCAGCAAAATGAATAAATACTGCAGGAAAATATTCTGCATCGTTAGAGTTTCAGGAGAGGGGCTTTTCAAACGAGCAACCCATATAGACGAATTGTCCAATTAGTAAAACGTACAAATATGTTTGAACTTTGCATGAACAGAGGAATTTACAGAAGTAAAACTGACCTAACAACTGTCTTAATTCTCAAAAGTACAACTATACTCACTAAAACCAACTTGTGAACAAACTGTACAAAGAATGATAGTAGAAAGCGGACTGAATGGGTGTGAGCATGAATTGACGAAATCTAATACTACAGCATGTAAAAAAAGGATGAATATAAATATGATTTCGTAAAGTAGAGAGTTTAGATGAAATGTGCAGACTGGAGCCAGCAGTTTACTTTCTCTCGACGCGGCTGATCATACAGAAGATGCGGGTCAAGCGGTTGCAACGATTCCGACTTGCAATTCTAAAAATTGCAAAATAGATTTTTGTGATGCCAGCATGTTTATAGTGGGCAAGAGAAAGTAAAGACATCAATGCGGAAAATATTAATCCTGAAGTATTGGGCAGGATAACGGCCCTCTTTGCTCAGGATGTCATTATTCGCTTTGTTTCGCCAGCTTTAATAAAGTCAGCAAAAAGAAATGGGATGCGCCATCAGCTGAAGGCACCGTCTGCCCAGACTGAGAGTACTGGGATTTTTATGCTCTATAACGACTAAGTAATTGCCTGCCTAAGTAATGAACAGGTCCCACTGCAAAAGACGAATTTCGAAGTGAGAAAAGTTCAGAAAGTACTTGTGGACGCATCTCTGCCCAGCAACCTGGATGCAAGCAGCTCGGAATAAAAATCTCATTTTTGTGATGAAAAAGTGATTTACAACAAATTTAGCTACTCAACCCTAATTTGGCACACATTGTTATCGGAAAATCCACGTTAATGGCGGGACGGACACGTCCACGGGTACTTTCTGGAGTGATTTTCTCGCTTCAAAATACATCTTTTGCAGCAACGGAACTTGGGCAATTACTTGGTCAGGGCCAAGCTTATTAGAGACATTAAAATTTCACCACGCTCAATTTGGGTGGACGGTTCCTTCAAGAAGGCAAAAATGCCAATATGCATTATGCAATATGCATATATGCCTTTACTTCCTCAACAAAAAGAAGAAGGAAGAGACGCTGGCTGATAATGCAGAATAAACGAAAATGTAACAGCAAAGAAAATGTGAGTTCAAAACTACCTTCGATATGTCTTTCTTTGAAGCACTCCTTCCTGCTCTTTCACTTGAACATCCAGAGTCGCTTCCCCTATCAATCTCAGCACCTCTCGATGAATCAGCAGAATCCACAGGTACATCAAAAACTGAATCGCCCATGCTTTCAGCATCAGTACATTCGATCTTCAATAAAAAATCATAAGTACCCAAAGAAACAAAGGTGGAAAGCATCCGAAAACCTGCGGTATCCTATCATCAGATCGCGTCCGTTTCAAACTTTTTATCCACGTAACAGCACCATTTCGCTTCCCATCACAGGAAAAAATATCCAGATCACGAGGAGGAGTTCCAAAGCAAGAGATCTCACGAACATAATTATGCGCAAAAACCGTAGCCCAATTACGAGCTACACGCTCGGCGGTGTGGGACCTTTGAATGTATCGATGTAGCTTACTGAGACTTCTCTGAGTTATAATTATCTGACCTATGTAAAAGTTTTGCTCGAAGGCGATCCCCACTGTCATTATCCAGATGCGTCATTTCTGGGATAGGGAAAAGATGTTGCTGACTAGAAGGAGCATCAGTTTGTCCGCCAGATCTGAACGCGAAAAAAATAAAGATATATAAATGAAAATCAGAAGAAGACTGAAAGTAGACTTACCGTCGTTCATGCATGGAATCTCCTCCAGAGCGTGAGTTAGTTCTGCAATAAGTTGTACCAGAGGCTCCCGCCTCGTTAACGCCTCCATTTCCACCTCCGCTTACCCCACCTAGAAAAAGCTTGCAGAAAATCAAAAAAAAATTTACTCGGTATACCTTGACCACCAGCACCGTCATCTGGGTCATTGTCGCTATCCGGTTTTCTTCCACAATACTTCGATCCAAGTAGCGATAACCGTTTGCCTTCTTCATCATCTGAGGCTTCAGATGAAGAGCAGCTGTAAGTAGCTTGGATTAATGACTGACTAATAATAATAGCTATCTAACTGGCTTTCCTGATCGACTAACCTTGTACTACGACGGCTTCGTGCAATAAGCCTTTGGTGTTGATCGTAACGCCTGCAAACATCCGGTGATACGACTGCATGACGTGGTCGAATCATGCGAACAGAACTAAAGACCGGTTAGTTTGGGAGCACGTATTAGTGGGAAAAAAGCAAAAAAATTATTGCCAACAAAACAACAACTAAAAAACTGAAAATGATGTAGTGAGTTGTTACGAAGTCAGCACAGCGAAGCAGTCTTTACCTATACGTAGTCGGCTGTGGATGCGATCCAGTGCTTTTCGTTACTTGCACAGACCCATGACGCATTGGAACAAGTCCTGTAGACGCTGATCTGCAAAGAAATGGCTTCGTTTGCAAAGTATGAGACCGAGAACGCACGACGCGATATGATGACATTCGATATAGATACCTATTCGTCCGCGCCGTCTGTCCAGTAGTCAGAAGCATAGTGCCTGTCTCAACGTCTTCTCCTTCTTCGCAAATTCCCAGAAGATGTGGTGAAGACGAAAGTTTTCTCATACCACCTCCAGCCGACGCGACTTTGAGACGAGAAAGTGATGACAACGATGACATAGCTGTAGAATTCATTCACTTCCACACAAAAAAAACGCAAAAACAAGAGAAGGGATCTAAAGAATGTACCGGGTGATGCGCGTCCACTACTTGTAGGTGGTGAAGGTGATCTGCTACTTCGAATACTTTCTGGGCTAGCGGCGCGCCGTCCTTTCCCTACAATCATGAAATCTTAGCGGATGAGCAAATCCAATCAGGTATGAAGATTCCCCTTTCTGCAAAATTTGGTCACAGAAATGGCATAGAACTGATACTCTCTCATTTCCAAGGACGGGTCCCACCGATGTTAGAAGAAAAAGTTCGAAAATGAAGGCATGAGAGTTTCAGCAATAACAGAAGAAAGAGGAGAAACCGTAGTGAAAATTTTCTGTTGAAAAATTTTCAGACGAACATAATTATTGAAACCAACCTATCCTACATAGTTCTAAGAGATCTTGAACCGCTTGCGGACTGACACGATCACGGGCTCCACTAAACATCGAGATGGAAGGAGACGAGTTCCTGAATGCAAAGATAGATGGTCAGTCCAACAATAGATATTATCATTCAAATTATGCAAAAAGGGAAGTTGTTAAGATTCAGCTTGCGGTATGGCGTGTTTAAATTGTATTCATGCAGCTAATGTACATATTTGCATGACATGTTAGAAATAAAAAGATTTGTCAAAAGGCGGTGGTTGCAAAACAACTTATAGAACCTCGAAAGATGTATCACTGAGGAATTGTTTGCAAAATACACAAGGATGCATGACGGATTTTTTGATGACAGAAAACGTAATTTGGAAAAAAAATTCTTGTAAAACAACTGCTTGATAAATGTACCACAAGTTCTCATTTTGTAAAGCGTTGCAAGTTTCGCTTAGAAGTATTCTCATAACAGCCTCAGGTGCCTCAAATGACCTCAGAAGAAAATGTAGAGCGCAAAGAAATAGAATGTGAAGAACTAAATAAAACGCTCGCTTTAGAGTAGGAAATACTGGCTCGAGTTCAAAAGACTTTTAAACTGGGGAACTTATGAACCGAAGCAAACCGAAACTGCTCATGCAAAGACCCAGGTAAACGAAAAAAATTAAAAATCATGCACTTCAAGTTACATGCAGGAAAAACAGATTCCCACAGAGCTCAGGCAAAGGAAAGCGACAGAAACATGCTGCTTGCCGCAAAATATCAAATCAAACAAAGCATTACGCACAAGACAGAACCACCTGCGTGCAAGATCCATGCGACCGGAAAAGGTTTGACGACGAAGCGGTGGTTGGGTTTCCGTGAAATCCTCAGACTTCGAAAATACAGAACTAGCGATGACTGCTGACGCTCCCGTAGCTGACGAACGGCTTCGAGCAAATTTCGCTCTCCGCTGTGCTATCACAATTTCGGACGGGTAATCATCGGAATCACTGAGTGTAAATCTTGGCACATTTGGGCAATGTTCGGCAATAGGAGAGAGATCTTCGAATGGCTGAAGAACTCGAGCACTAGACGTGGATCGAGGTTGCTCAGAAGGTTCTTCATCCATCGACGATTGTGAGGAATGCAATCGGCCACCACGATGTGGCGTTGACGCAATATCTTTGGAAGTACTTCTGAACGGTATCGGACAGTTTAGTGATAACATCAGTAAGACAACAAAACAAAGAGACAGTGTAGGACCAACGAACCACACGATGAACACATGAATAGCTGTAGATCTGGTTGAAAAGCTGTGAGACACATGACACTTGAGATTACGGAAACCACCAGAAAAGCAAAGGCATACCTACTACTATGACGACTAGAACGCATGTAGGAAGAGAGCTCTTCTTCGCTTTCTTCCTTGAGAATGGAGCAAGGTCGGGCACGCCACGAGTTGGAACGGCTGCGACATCGCGATCCACCCGGCGGAACTGCGCTGGGAGCTCGGGATTCGCTAAATGGCAATTCTCGAAGAAATCACTTTTATGAAAAAAAGAAACAGACGAGTTGATTGAAACTTGCAGTACCGGAAAAGAAAAACCAGCGTACACATAGATTACTACTTGTTAAAAAACAGAAATGATAATAAGAAGCGTGACGTTCTAATAAAGTATCATACTAGCTTCGACTGCAAAAGTGGGATTCAGATCTCCCTGACAAAAATGCGCATACCTTGCAGAACACCAAGTGTGTACTTTTATGGCACCACCATGAAATTCACCCTCAACGGAAATCTTATATATAAAGCTGAATGTCTGTTTGTATGTATGTATGTATGTATGTATGTCTGTCTGTCTGTACGTATGTTCCGAATAGAAAATTCCATTTCTGAACCGATCGGGACCAAACTTGGCACACATACACTTCGGGCCCCGGCGGGTGTCATAGGCTACTTTTCGTCATCGATCGATATCGATTTTATCGATTTTTGCGATTTTTTGTAAAGTTTGACCTGCGGTGGGAGTTTGCACAGGGGGGTAATCGAGCATGCAGATTACGAATACAATATTAGTTTTCAAGATCGTCCATTACTTTTATCGATTTTATCGATTTTTTGAAAGTTTGAGCTACGGGGCTGGAATTTGGCACAGGGGGGTAATCGAGCATGCTGATCATCCCCAAGGGGGGTGATCAGCATGCTCGATTACCCCCCTGTGCAAAATCCCAGCCTCGCATGTCAAAATTTACAAAAAAATCGATAAAATCAATAAAAGTAATCGATAATTCTGAAAACTAATATTGTATTCGGAATCCCCATGCTCACTTCCCCCCCTGTGCCAACTCCTAGCCCTGTAGGTGAACTCTGCAAAAAAAATCGATAAAAATAGGTAAAATCGACATCGATCGATAACGAAAAGTGGACTGTGACACCCGGGGCCCGAAGTGTATGTGTGCCAAGTTTGGTCCGGATACGGCGGAGCCGGGTAAGCCAGCTAGTAGTTCATAAGATTAACAACACCCTCACTTCGATTACGCTGCGACTGCAAATTCAAGAAAAAAACCTCAAAAGATCTTTCCCATTTCCCGAAGACTTACTGAATGTAGCATATTGTAAATTGATTCTTTCCATCATAGCATTTTGAAATCTTTGCTGTGAGATTGACTTCCTGTTCATTGACGAAACATTATAAAACTCAAGTACCTTTCTAGCGGCTCCTCCTCTGGAATACCACTACCTTCCTTTGCCATCAATTCTTTAGCCTGCTCTTCGCGACAGCTAGCCAAAATTCGCTCAGCTAGAAGGTAGTAAGTCGCTGTCATCGAGTTGTAGTCATCATTTTCGAGAGCCCTAAAACATCATGTGGTGTTTAGGCTTGAAAGGACCAATTTTAACCATTACTACCTCAATATAGCATCTTCGGTACCAACGCCGCCAGCTACCATCTGTTCGATGATCGTTGTATGTGCTGAGTGGGGAAGGTGGTGTTTCACAATGAGTGGTAACATCTGCGAAAAAGCACGTAATTTTGCATGGACTTATGAATGGGCAGAGAAAAATGGACTCACTTCAGCGTGTCCTCGATCTCCAGCCATGACCCATGGATTTGAAACAATCTCAGCAAGACCAGCTCGCTTTGTCGGATCGCGTACTAGCATGCGATGGATCAAGCTAAGAGAAGAAAATCAGGACATAATAGGTACATACACAGCCATAATAGTACAAATAAACAAAGAAAGAATGTTTGCTTACTTTTTACATGCGTTAGACAGATGCTCGGGAATGGTATACCGGCAATCCAAAATTTTTGTGAGTGTTTCAGAATCGTTAGCCTCTTGGAATGGCAACCTTCCACACACCAGCATGAATAAGATTACACCCAAAGACCAAACATCTGCAAATTTGCAGCTGTGAATGTGTAACCTCAAAAAAAGGTATAATGAACGCACCCACGGCAGGCGCATCATAGGCATCTCCCAGAAGAATCTCCGGAGCAGAATAAGCTAGGGAGCCACATGCGGTACGCAGCTGTTGACCAGGCTCGAAGAGATTAGAGAAACCAAAGTCGGTTAGCTTTACCATACCAAGCTTTTCGAAAAATACTACATTCTCAGGCTGAAACATACACACACATAGAATGAGTGAAAGTAAGAATGCGGAAAGAAGATAAGAAGCGGAATCTGAACCTTCAAGTCTCGATGTACCACATGAAGTCGATGACAGTAGTCGATAGCTGTTATGATTTGGCAAAAATACTGCTGAGCTAGAGGTTCAGCCACACCCTAAAATACTATCGGATAAAAAATAACGATGATGCACTCAAAAAGAACATATTCTACGAGACAACTACATCGTTTAACGGCTTGGCAAGTTACATATTGCAGTGTAAGTATATGAGATAACTATTGGAAGCTTGTTCTTTGTTCGCTGACATCATAGTTCTAATAAGAAAGACTCGAACAAACGAGAACAATCAACTAGGCACACTCATTAGATTATGCAAAAAGTGAATTAAATGCAACTGTTTGAGGAAGCAACAACCAATCAAAGAAAGGAAGTAGGCAAATGCCATTCTCAAGGGGGAAATTCAATTTGTGCCAAAAGGTCAACAAATGCATATGAAAGAAAAAGTTTGTGAAAATCAAACAAGTACGAACGTAACCCGAAGCAAAACTAGACATCCCACATTTTCATGTTTGATGATGAAGTCGTGCATATCATAGTCACCGAGCTCAAGGATGAGGAATAATTTAGTGTTAGTATCAATGACCTCGTAGAGACGAACGATATTTGCATGTTGTACGAGTTTCATACATCGTACCTAAACAAATACTCATAAAGTATTGAAGTAAAAAAAACGCTTAAAACTACTTACTTCTTGCATAACATGCCCTTGTGCTTCAGCATCAAGATTTGTTTTGTCAATAATTTTGACGGCAACCTAAACACATGACATTCATTGATGGTTTATAACAATTTGCATTAGTAGCTCCTCCATTGTGTGCAAGTAATTCTGAATATAAATTAGGTAAAATATACGGAAGGCTTTTCGCTGCTAAAAACACATAAAAGCTTCTTAACAACTGATTGCGTGATTTGAAGTTTTGAAAGAAAGAAGAAGAGAGCAAAGAACTTCTCTTGAAAATTGGAAAAAAGATTTAGATACTATTCCACTTTTCATAAATCTCAGACTGCGCTGAGACGTTGCCTTTACTTATTTTACATGCTGACTAAGGAAAATTTCTGAGTGGTAGCTCCTCATAAGTGGAGATATGGTGAATATATTGTAAGGGGTAAAAATCTCACTAAGAGCCGGAACCTTGCCAAAACAGAGGGTTGTTAAGCATGCTGACTGCGAATCACAACTAGTGGTATTACTTCTGTAATGTTACAGTAACGCATGGCTAATGGTTAGCTACTCATTACCGCAGCAGGTGAATACAGTATTTGTTATCAGCATGCCAAATAAATCCTTACTCTAAATTTTACCAATCGAAACTAAGCGGTATGAAAAAATAAAAGTGAGCGGACTATCATGAGATTGTAATTATAAAATTGCATAGATTCTTTAGCACTAAGAAATAGTTACGTGTAAGTACTTTCTAATTACCTGTTCTCCGGTGAATACATGTCGTGCGAGTTTCACAACAGCAAAATGTCCTTGTCCGATGGTATGCTCTAAGTCGTACAAACCAGCTATCCTTGCATCACGAATATGTATAGAACGTTTTCTAACGATTTCAGCCATTGCGGCAATGCGAATGAAGCTGCATTTATAAAATTCTGGAATGTTTCAAGGAGAAATTATGAAGATACACAAACATACAGTATTCCGACTAAAAGTAAGACACGAAGAGACTAAAATGATGTTCTGGCCTACGCACTACCTGAAATTCAATTGGTATTTTCTGGTCTAGTGCATGGTCAATCAACTGAGGAAATTACATTTTTGATGTCCTTTGAGTGGCAAAGTAATATTAAGACTCAAGCGTCAGGGTAAAAACAAGAAACTTTCAAGAAATAGAGAACTTGAGAACAGGAAAGTAGGAATGAACTTGTACAAGCGAATGCGAGGATTACCAGCAAAACTAGCAGTGATTTTTCCGTTGAAAAAAGGTAAGCGTATCAATGAAGAGAGATTATCGTCGAAATTCTTCCTGCCACAAGACTGTTTTCTGGAAAGAACTCAAATGATAAGATGATATCACCAGCGAGAAACTGGATATACAGGATGGAACTTAGAAGGATTTCGTGAGAATAGTGACATTACAGCCATAAAAAACCACTAGGGCAATAAATTAAAGGTTTGTTGTGCAATGTGGGTAGCGTTCCAGCTTCCAACAGAGAACACTGACTTAAAAATGTCAGGAATGAATACTTAATTGCTGTGTAAAACATTTGAAACGAACAAATTACGCAAATTAAAGTATCTTAGTGAAGCCTGGGCATATTAAACTATCCCAATCCTCCCGCAAATAAAAGTTAAGGAGAGAAGGTTTTACTGGAAAGGCATCAGTGTCAAGTAAGGAGTCAAATCTACCAACAGGTTACGAATAACTTGAAGTATGTGATTTAAAAGCAATACATGTGACGGAAACTGTTGACTTACACTACGCCGATCATAATATCACATTTTTCATTCTCGCAGTTCTTCTTATGCCAAAGCTGTTACTAAACATACCACTGGAATGAGAATCATGCATCCAGATGTTCACATTTTATGATGTTTCACCAAGATAAGAGACTATCATATACCATAAATAAAGAAAATAAGTATTCTGGTTCGCTTTTCGTTTACTTTTTATGAATAATAAAGATATCACGTGCGTCATTGGTTCGCTGCAGCTACGACATATAAGAATGTTTGTTCAAAAGCTTGACGCACATGTGCTCATGTAGTCAGAGACATATTCAAAGATACTTTGCAGTTGACTAGACTGTGCTCTTTTGCAAGTGATTCTTCTTGAATATGTCTTTACAAGTAAGTTTTGAAAACATTTAGACACTTGCTGTTGAAAAAAAATTCTTTCCGCATACCTTGTTCCCTCGCAAGAAATCAAAATGTTTTAGACCATAGATAAATATATACCGCACTGTGACTGTTAACAGGGACAAATTCAGAGCTAGTGTTAACATTCAAAAACGATATCATGGGATGGATGGGGGAAACTGAGAGCGAATCATATGTCCTCAACAATGTAATATCAAGAGCAATTCCACTGCACAGCGACAGATACAAAATCGAATCACTGACGCAGGCAATCCGCGAATGCGCCTGAGGCGGCGTCGCGGTCCGCATAGACTGAAAGGAGATGTGCATAAAATAAACTTTGTATGTAGGCCGTTACTCAAGTCAGTAACAAACAGGAAGAAAACCGAAGTGCTTCATCAAAGAAATTATGAGAATAGATTTGCGCAAAAGTGCTGAATCCTGTGGACAAGCTGAATGTGTTTTCTAGAGTTATATCCATAGAAAGTGCACTAACGATACTATTATTAGATGATTTTCTAAGAACAGCTGCAAGTCTCCGATGTCAGTTGCTCAAGAAACATTATAGTTCCGCAGAAGAGCTTGAAGTACACACTTCATAAACACTGTCCACTGAAATCTAAGGCTGATGAGACTTTAATGTAGTAATACAGCGAGGCCACTAAATAAGTAATTCCCCAAGTCTTGCTGCAAAAGGTATATGTCAAAACGAGAAAAACCCTACAGGAAGTGGATGATGCTGGGGTCGCCACGCCCACCAAAATGAATGTTTTGAAAGTAATAAGACAGAATTGGATTCTTGAATACACAAAAGTCGAGATGATGTTCTACACGAGAATAATTTTCGCAATTTCTAGACACTATATTTTCGCCACACAAGTTGAAGGGCGTGGCGACCCCTGCAGCATCCACTTTCTGAAGCGTTTTCTCTCTTCGTAATACAACTTTTGCAGCCGGAGTTGGAAAGCTAGATAGTTAGTTAGCGGCCTAACTACTGTACTGCATCAAAACTCACAAACTTCGATTTAAGTGAAAGGGCCAAGCCTCAATCGTTCTAATATAAGACTGGAAAAAGTACAATTTGGCGGTGATAAAGAGATTATACTTTTCAAGACAGTACAGAAATGTTTGTTTATTCTGAAAATAATGAAGTGGAAGAATGTTAGATGAATCAAGAGTCTCCCTTTCAGGTAAATAATTTACGGACACTGGTCTACTACTATTTACTATCTACAACTTTTCAAATCTGGATTTAGATGTAAATGAAGTGCGAATTAGGTATTAGAAATCACGAACAGATATTTTAAGGGTAAAAAAGAAATGAAATCTAGAAAGAAAACTAAGCATCTTATATATAAAGCTGAATGTCTGTCTGTATGTCTGTATGTATGTCTGTACGTATGTGCGGAATAGAAATTTTTATTTCTGAACCGATCGGGACCAAACTTGGCACACATATACTTCGGGGCAGGGAGCGTGTCATAGGCTACTTTTCGTTATCGATCGATATCGATTTTATCGATTTTTATCGATTTTTTTGCTGAGTTCACCTACGGGGCCGGGAGTTGGCACAGGGGGGTAATCGAGCATGGGGATTCCGAATACAATATTGGTTTTCAGAATTATCGATTACTTTTATCGATTTTATCGATTTTTTTGCAAAGTTTGAGCTACGGGGCTGGGAGTTGGCACAGGGGGGTAATCGAGCATGGGGATTCCGAATACAATATTGGTTTTCAGGATTATCGATTACTTTTATCGATTTTATCGATTTTTTTGCAAAGTTTGAGCTACGGGGCTGGGAGTTCGCACAGGGGGGTAATCGAGCATGGGGATTCCGAATACAATATTGGTTTTCGGGATTATCGATTACTTTTATCGATTTTATCGATTTTTTTGCAAAGTTTGAGCTAGGGGGCTGGGAGTTGGCACAGGGGGGGTAATCGAGCATGCTGATCACCCCCAAGGGGGGTGATCAGCATGCTCGATTACACCCCTGTGCCAAATTCCAGCCCCCTAGCTCAAATTTTCAAAAAATCGATAAATTCGATAAAAGTAATGGACGATCCTGAAAACTAATATTGTATTCGTAATCTGCATGCTCGATTACCCCCCTGTGCAAACTCCCAGCCCCGCAGGTCAAACTTTACAAAAAAAATCGATAAAATCGATAAAAGTAATGGACGATCCTGAAAACTAATATTGTGTTCGTAATCTGCATGCTCGATTACCCTCCTGTGCAAACTCCCAGCCCCGCAGGTCAAACTTTACAAAAAAATCGATAAAATCAATAAAAGTAATCGATAATTCTGAAAACTAATATTGTATTCGGAATCCCCATGCTCACTTCCCCCCCTGTGCCAACTCCTAGCCCTGTAGGTGAACTCTGCAAAAAAATCGATAAAAATCGGTAAAATCGACATCGATCGATAACGAAAAGTGGAGTATGACACGCTCCCTGCCCCGAAGTGTATGTGTGCAAAGTTTGGCCCCGTGCGAAGCCGGGTACGCCAGCTAGTAGTAATATCAAAGACGAAGCACTCGACACGACAGCGCAAAATGTGCAATCAAGTGGACAAGGTGACAAGAAAATTGCCTTCTAAAGAGAGAGATGATGTCGAAAGGAAACAAGAGATGAGGGGAGAGAGAGAGCTATTCATGGCACGAGAGTAGTGGCCCCGATCAATAGACTAGGCTGGCGCTTGTTCGGAACAAAAAGAAGGTGATGATCGCCCCGTCACTGTCGCCGCTGATTGCAATGGACCGGAAACCGAGGCAAGAAGCCGTGTATGAAGGCCGGACGATACTCTCCTCAGCCCCGAAGAGCCGCCCGACGACGAAACTTCGATCGATAGCCGGCGAGAAAAAAGCGAATTTAAATGCGAAAAAGCGCCATTAGGCCACGACTTGAAGTTTCGCGAATTTCCACTCTTCAAGAGCAAATGCCGTGCCGAGATGTTCATTTGGAGAAAACCATATTATCGCTGACAAGCCATGCCCGCACTTTGCCTGCACTGAATGCTTCATTAGCGTTCCTTGCAGCATTGCAGAAGCTTTTCCGAGAAAGAAAATGTGTATGCAGAAAGGATGCAGCCAGAAAAGCTTCTTGGCCAGAGGGCAAAAAAAGAATCAAACTTTTGCAGAGTCAATAATAGTCGTGATTGATGGTGGCCATGTCCGTGATCGCGGATACACAGCATTTATCGCACGCTCTGACGAGATTTGTTGAGCTTTTGCCTCCAAAAAGATTGCTTGTACTCTAGGTGAAAGCTGTTTTCATGACTATAGGTCTCTTAGAGATTATGAGACCCTAGTGAACTACGCGCAAGAAAGTCATGCAACTCACTGCGTTCATATCAACTAACATATGAAATGAGGAAAAGCACTGATTTTGTCTTGCAAACGATGTATATCCCTTGATCTCATGCAATGTACGGTATGCTTTAATTAAGGAAAGTCGAAGCATTTGCTTTGAGGGGCGCAAAGCTTTGGCACTCCACCAGCAAAGAAATGAGGAGAGAGAAGAAACAGGAATTTGGAAAAATTGTAGAAATGAGGTTTATAGTTGTGTTGAACCGGAACTGGACCTCACTGCGGAGTACGCGCCGCAAGGTAAACGCTTGCCCCAGTACAAATTCGCCATTGTACAAGTCGTGCTCTCGCGACAATTCAGCCGCGCGCGCGTGGTCCGCAGCCTTTGAGCGGTCCGTGCGGTCAACGAGTCGACGATATGCGCTTTGACAATTAGCAGTACCGTCCCGAAAGTTTGTTTCGAGAAAGGAAGACAGAATTGTTTGTTTTCCGAATGAACTAGGTGGAGTCAGCCACGCCTCTTGAGCTCCAAATCTGTAGAAATGGGGCTGTCTGCCACATCCCCAAAAATGTTTTAAAGATAATTGAAGTGACAATTTCAAAAAATATCTAGATTATGTTCGATGCTTTGCTTGAGCAGACGTTGTTAGGAGAAAAGCTCGATGAAGTTTATCTCATGCCTCGTTGGTACAAGGACGACTATAAGATTCAATAGGAGCAAACCGGAAGTCCGAAAAGCGGGTATAGGCAACATTGGCTATTTTCGGTACAAAGTAATTAAAGTTTGATCTAATTTGTGACTGTTTTCGTAGATGTTAATAAATATAGGAGACTTTGCATCTAAAAATTTCCTTCACTGAAAATCAAAAAAGATGCATTTGCATCTAGAAAGAAGTAACTGAAGTCACTTGGAAAAACCAAACGAGAGGTTCTCGTTCAAGCACATTCAACTCTTGGAAATACTAATTCATTTTAAAACGCGACATAAACCCCTGCCCACGTTCTCATTTGTGCCCATACTTGCTTTTTACGGCAAAGCTACTTGGAGATGTTTAGTTCAGAAGTTTAAATGTTGAAATGTCTGAGCTCGCTCAAC